AGACGACAACGAGCAGCAAAGTCGACAAGCTCAGCAACGAGGTCCGACGTAGCACTGGACTCAAAGGAAGGGTCAGTGACAACAGTAGCAAGCAGACGCGTGACAGTAGGACTGGCAGCACGAAGAGAGTCAGACTCTGGGTCCGCAAGAACAGGAAAAGAGGACTCTGGAGGAGACGGCAACGGGACACGCAGAGAGGCAGAGGAAGGACGCAGTGCCATCTGGTGTGTGCCTGGGAATGCAGGAGGATGCGGACGCGGAGCACGACCACTAGTACGAGCAGCACGAAGAGGCGAGGCAGGACGAGACGCAGGCTCACGACGCTCAGCAAGACCTCCGGTAGGACCAAAGTAGGGAGAAGGAGCAGGTAGGGAGGAGGCGGGCTGTAACTGTGACCGCGACTTGACAGGCTGTGGACTCTCTAAAGGAGGAGCAGGACCAGTATAAGGCGGGAGACCAAGAACCTGCTGAAGGAGCGGAACGATGTACGGCCGCGGCCGCGCAGCGCCTCTAGAAACAGCAGGGACAGCACCCGTACCCCCAGCGGCAGCACCAGTGCCAGCAGCACCTCTAGCTCCAACAGCACCAACTCGAGCACCCTCAAACGCACCAGCGCCAGCAGCACCTCCACACCAACACCTCTAGCAGCTCCAGTGCCAGCAGCACCTCCAGCGCCAACACCCATAGCAACTCCAGCTCCAGCAGCACCGTCAGCTCCAGTACCGCCAGCAGCTCCAGCAGGACCTCCAGCAGAACCAACTCCAGCAGCTCCAGCAGCACCCCCAGTCCCAGCAGCTCTTGTACCACCAGTAGGAGCACCTCCAGGACCAGCAGCAAAAGTAGCACCCTCAGCTCCAGCACCACGGCTCCAGCGCCGGGCAAACCACTCGCGCAGCTCCTGCGGAGAGAGTAGCTCCCGCCTTGACGAAGCACCGCAAGAGGCCACACGAGTAGACCCAGCACCCCCAGGATCCGCACCCCCAGGCTCAGCACCCCCAGGCTGAGCACCCCCACACTCAGCACCCCCAGGCTCAGCACCCCCAGACTCAGCACCCCAAGGCTCAGCACCCCCAGACTCAGCACCCCCAGGCTCCACACCCTCAGGCTTAGCACCTCCAGGCCCGGCACCCACAGGCTCAGCACCTCTAGCAGCACCAGAGTCAACAGCTACCTCGACAGGCTCGACTGCGTCTACCTGGGACACACCTGACGGGGCAGGACCCTGAGGGGGGAGGGGGTCTACCGGGGGAGGACCTGGCGCAAGGAAGAGCGGCGGCGGGGAAAGGGGCGCAGTGCGGTAGGGGAAGAGACGGTAGTAAGGCACCGACTCGTCAAACGTGACGTCCTGGGAGGACAGAACACGGCGCGAGGTGGGGTGGTAAAATTGCCACCCTGGCGCGTCAAGGGGGAAGCCAAGGAAGACGTAGGGAACAGCACGGGGGGACGGATTGTCCGCAGACAAGTCGCGGACAAACGCCCGAGATCCCCAGACCCGAAACGCAGACGCATCGCCAACCTTCCCCGTACACTGCAAGGTGGGGGAGGTCTCTGGCAAGGAGACCCGGGGCTGAAGGTTTAGGTGATGTGCTGCGTACTGAACCGCAAACGGCCACAGAAAATGGGGGGCAGCCGCATGGATCATGGACGTACCAGTGACTCCATGACCATGCCAATGCAGCGCTTAGCAATCCCATTTTTCTGTGGAGAGGCCGGAAGCGTGAAGGTCTGGCGGATGCCCTGTGCACGACAGAAGGCTCCCCGCCTCTCTCAGAGTGCAGACGCTGAACAGGAAAGTCCGAGCCGAAACTCTCTCTGAGCTGGAGACGAGCTGCGCGGATCCAATCGATCAACACCTCAGTGACGTCACCCTTGCTGCGCAAGGGGAACACCGTGGAGTAACGCGAGTAGTCGTCCACCACCAACAGGAAGTAACGCTCGTGACCCTGGCCACGGACGCGGGCGGGGCCCCACATGTCCATGTGAAGAGTCTCCAGCGGAGCCTCTGTCGGAGGAAACTCGGAGGAGTGAGGGGCAGCGCGCTGCCGCCCCTCGACGCAGGGGACGCAGATAGGGGCAGGCCCCGGAGGTAGGGGAGGGAGAGACCAAGGGAGACTAGAGACAAGGACACGGGAGGCCATGCCTCAGAGATGAGGCAGGGAGGGGTGACCAAGGCGGTGGTGCCAAAGGAGAGTCTGGTGGGACAGGAGACGACACGAGCAGGGAGCAGACTCAGGACAAGACCTGGATGCTGCAGCAAACACCTGACTCGACGCAGCTACCTGGCCCGACTCAGCAGCTGGAGGAGACTCAGTAGTAAGGGTGTCCAGGCTCGACCCTGGCCGACGAGTGAACGTGGCCAAGTGTCGGCCTATCCGAGCACACGTGCAGTGGGTCAGTCGCTGACTCGCAGGAGTGAACTGGTCAACCCCCCTATCCTTTAGGTCCGCTCCACTCACCAAGTTCGTAGAGAACAAGGGGAGGTAGAGACCTGACAGGGTGCCACAGTCCTTCGGTCACGCGTCTCCTTGCTACTGTTGTCACTGACCCTTCCTTCGAGTCCACTGTAATGTCTACCCTAGTTGCTGAGCTTGTCGACTTCGCTGCTCGCTGTTGTCTAGACTACGCTGCCAGTCTCGTTGCTGAGTCTGGTCTGTCTGTCCTCCGTCCGTCGGGGGTGAGTGTGCTCTTAGCATGGACGTCCTTGAGGATAGGCAGGAGGAGTTCTAGTGCTTTGCTGCTGCTTTGCCCCATCTCGTGTCCATGCTGATTGCCCCTGAGGGAGACCCGGATGCACCAGACATCCCGACTCCTCGATCGTACGCTGAGGCGATCGAGGGTCCCTACTCCTCTCAGTGGCAGTCAGCCATGGACACAGAGATGGCTTCCTGGAAGTCCAGAGGCACCTACGTCGAGGAGGTTCCCCCACCTGGGGCGAACATCGTCAGTTACATGTGGATTTTCAAGGTGAAGCGGCCTACGGGTTCTCCGCCTGTCTTCAAGGCGCGTTACGTGGCTTGAGGCTTCATTCAGTGGCAGGGAGCTGACTACTTCGAGACCTTCTCTCCCACCCCGAAGATGACCACTCTTCGGGTGCTGCTGCACATAGCTGTTCAGCGCGACTACGAGCTTCACTCTCTTGACTTCAGCACAGCTTTCCTGCAGGGCAGCCTGCACGAGGAGATTTGGCTGCGCCGCCCACCTCGCTTCACTGGATAGTTTCCCCTTGGTACCTAGTGGAGCCTCCGGCGGCCAGTCTACGGTCTCCGCCAGGCACCTCGTGAGTGGCAAGACACACTGAGGACTACACTTGCGGCTCTTGGGTTTGCTCCTTCTACAGCCGACCCGTCGCTGTTTCTGCGCACTGACACCTCTTTGCCACCGTTCTACATCCTCGTGTACGTCGACGACTTGGTCTTTGCCACTGCTGACACTGCTGGACTCGCCCACGTGAAGTCCAAGCTGCAGAAGAGACACACGTGCACGGACCTGGGTGAACTGCGCAGCTACCTTGGCTTGCAGATCACCCGGGACAGAGCATAGCGCACCATTACCCTGACTTAGTCACACATGATGCAGCAGGTCCTTCAGCGCTTCCGCTTCACGTACTCCTCGCCTCAGGCCACTCCTCTGTCTACTCGCCACTCGCTCTCAGCTCTGCCTTCGGATGAGTCCGTAGAGCCGAGTAGCCCGTACCCAGAGCTTGTTGGCTGCTTCATGTACCTGATGACCTGCACACAACCTGACCTTGCATACCCTCTTAGCATCTTGGCACGCTATGTTGCTCCTGGGAGACACCGACCAGAGCACATGGCTGCAGCGAAGAGGGTGTTGCGCTACGTGTGCAGTACGTCGGGCATGGGGCTAGTGCTTAGAAGGCGACGTCGATTGGTCCTCACAGGTCACGCTGACGCTTCTTGGGCAGACGACCAGGCTCTATAGCGGTTGTCACAGGGTTACACCTTCAGCCTTGGCTCCGGCTCTGTTTCGTGGCGGTCTACCCGCTTATCCTCTGTTCTCAGCTCGAGCTGTGAAGCTGAGATCCACGCAGGGGCCATGGCTGCACAGGAGCTACGCTGGCTCACCTACCTGCTAACTGACCTAGGAGAGCTGCCTCGTTCTCCTCAGCTCTGTACGTAGACAACAAGGCCATGCAGGCCTTGTGTCGAGAGCACAGACTAGAGCACAGAACGAAGCATATTGCTCTCCGCTACTTCCTGGCTCGTGAGCTGCAGCAGCGTGGTCAGCTCCGCCTCACCTACGTGGCCTCTGAGGCCAACACTGCTGATATCTTCACCAAGGCCCTTCCGCCTTGTGATCATCAGCGCTTCTGTACTTTGCTAGGTCTTGTGCCTACCTGGCCTCACTTGCTCACTTCTTGATCTGTTTTGTACATTACTCTTTCTATACCTGCACTTGCTTGTATACCTTTATATATATGATCTTGCATGTGAACTGGCCTTGTGGCCTTGCTCTTGTGCTTGGACAGTGTGGTGACTTTGTGATCCACCCTGAGCTTGCTTTGCTTTGCTTGACTAGTCTTGTGACCACTTGTTCTCCCCCACTTTGCCTATGGGGGTGTGTCAGGACATTATAGCTTATACATCTATGTAGGCTGTAGTGGGGTAGCCCATAAGGGGTACAACCCAATTAGGGTTAGTACATGTACCCAACTGTTTCATAGTTTAATCATTCTCGTTCTAATTTTCACACGGAGGTAGGGGAGGGAGGGACCGGGGGAGACCACAGACAAGGACAGGGGAGGCTATGCCTCGGAGACGAGGCAGGGAGGGGTGACCAAGGCGGTGGTGCCAGAGGAGAGTCTGGTGGGACAGGAGACGACACGAGCAGGAAGCAGACTCTTGACCAGACCTGGACGCTGCAGCAAACACCTGACTCGACGCAGCTACCTGACCAGACTCATCAACCGGAGGAGACTCAGTAGTCAGTGTGTACAGGCTCGACCCCGGCCGACGGGTAAACGTGGCCAAGTGTCGGCCCGTCTATGCACACGTGCAGTGGGTCACCCGCTGACTCGCAGGAGTGAACTGGTCAACCCCCCTATCCTGTAGATCAGCTCCACTCACCAAGTTTGTAGAGAACGAGGGGAGGTAGAGACCAGACAGGGTGCCAGAGGGGGCTGCTGGGCACGGTAAGACTGTGGAGAAGATAGCAAGGACAGGACCCCCAGAGGGGTCCGCTAGGGAGACCGCAACCGGCCGACTAAGCGGCGTAAGCGTGGTGCGGTCTCGAAAGAAGGAGCGGGAAGCACCCGAGTCAAGGGTGAAGGTGTGTAAGGCCTCAGCCGACGTGGTACCAGAGAGAGTAGACTCACCAGCACCTGGGGCAGCAGACGCACTAGCACCTAGAGCAGCAGTCTCACCAGTACCTAGAGCAGCAGCTCAATGCCCGGGTCATGCGGTACAGACAGGTAACAGTCACCCTCATCACTAGCAGAAACAACATACATGGCAGCAAGAATAGCATCATAATCAAGATCAAAGATAGCAACCCCCGCCCTAAACAGCTCTCCCCAGCGAGGGATCTCAGTGGCGTCAGGGAACTGGTGACGCCACGCGTCCGTCAGGCAGCCGAAGCAGCGTTGGGCGGAGTGCGGGCCCCCGCACTGCTCACCCGTTTGGTCGCGGGTACGAAGGACGTAAGTGTAGGGACCAGTACCCCCACCCCGCTGATGCGAAGCGTACCACTTACGAAGCTGCTGAGAGGACAAGGTCTCACGACTGCGCTGCTGCTGCTAGCGCGGACCACCACCGGCCACTTCTCTGCGCAAAGCCGCGACCAGCTCCACCGCTGCCTCCGCCACCTCCGCCGCCTCCGCCGCCTCCGCTCCCTCCGCCACCGCCGCCGACTCCTCTGCCTCCACTGCTGCCACCGACACCTCCACCCCCGCCACCACTCCCACCACCACCCCCACCCCCTCCACTCCCGCCAGCCCCTCCAACGCCCTTGCCCCCCTTGCCCTTGCCTGTGCGGCGTCTTTCGCTAGGGGCAGACGCATCGCCGACCGACTCGAAGCCAACGACGTCGGCCGCAGCACCAGAAGCAACAGAGGGCAAGAGGGGGGAGGGGGAACATCCCTCTAAGACGGGGGTGCGAGGGTCACCACGAGAGGCTCCTACAACGACAATGCTTCTCTCTGCTGCTAGGAGGCGCTCCTCGAGGAGGTCAACGGTGAGTGTGGTGGGGCAAACTGAGAGGAAGTGATCCTTGACTAAGCAAGGGAGTCAGGGAGCCGGGTGACTATGTAGTAGAGGGTGATGTACATGGGGGGAGGGTTCTTGGCACAGATTTTAGCAGAAAGCACAGCGCGGTAGCGAGTGACGCTAGTGCGAAGGTGCGTAATGAGGTCAGCGACTGTGGGAAAGGCAGCAAGGTCAGGGAACAGGTACGGTAGCAAGAGGCGGCTAGGCGCAGCAGTGGCAGGGGAAGTGTAGCGTGCAACTACAGCGTCGTACAAGGTCTTAGCACTCTTGTACTGGCTAAAGTGCGCACGCTCAATGGTCGGTAAGTGGCGACGCACAGCAAGACGGGCAGCAGCATCGCGCGTGGCCCACTGTGAGCGAACAGTGCTGTAAGCAGTAGCAGGCAGGGCAGGAGAGGCACCACAGGTGAGATCGAACAGGGAGAGTCCGTCTGCCCTATCGCTCTGTAGGAACAGGTGGAGGTCTTCGACCCAGACCTCAAAGTCAACAGCACGACCCTTAGTATCAAAGGTAAGGACACTGGGGGTAGCCATGACTGCAGTGGCCTAGCAGGGAGTGATCTCACCAGTCCGAGTAAGTAGGGCCGGGGCGCGCTGTTGTGACGCAACCATATGCATTCACGTCTGTCTGCCTCCATCAAGTGTTCGTGTGTTGCATGCGTGGTATGAGCGTGTGCAAGAATTTGTGCTTTGCGCGGTTTGGATTTCCTGAGTGTGTGTGGATGATATTTGGCTTGGGCAGATATCTTAAGTGACAGCTCTACTCAAGAGCTCACCGACGAGCCAAGAATCGTCGCGATCGGAGCAATATCAAGAAAGTTACGAACGTTGGAGTTCGTATGCTTTTTGTACTTCGGTTGTGGCGACTATGGGAAGTTGTGGGGTTGACTCAATATGAGGTACAGGCTTTTGGGGGTTGGGAATTCGAACCCATCACTGTAGAATGCTGCCATGTGGTTGGGTGAAGCCAAACCAGGTTGGCAAGTGTGGCCAAGTGGGTTGAGGTGGATGGCATGAGTTGGGAAAGTGACAAATGTGAAAGTGGGGTTGCCTATGGGGAAGGAAATTGTGTGGCATGGGGTTTCCTTGGGTTGGGGACTCCTTGGGACCTTCCCTCTCGTCCTCCTCTACTCTCTCACCTGGTTTAGTGCAACTCCAACTCTCTTGTGTGGAACTCTTGTGAACTTGTGAAACTATTGTGAGTGAATTAAGTTTCTATGTGGCAGCATACCCCCTGGTGCGCCGAGATACATAACTCGAGATTTACTCCACCTTTTGATACGATTCAAATTGGGAATGATAGCCACGGACAAGGGCTACAACATACTCGAGTTTAGCAAGATTCTAACAGTGCACGTTTCGTCGACAACGTTTCTTGTGAAGTCGCGGTTTCTGTCCAGAATTTCAAGCCAACGATTTTGAGAAATTTAGGCTCCTAATCTTCATAGACTCAGTCCTTAGTCTCTAACAAGTGGTATCAGAGCGATTAAGAACTTTGTGGAGAGTCTACTGAAGTGTGTAGACCCTCCTAGACCCACCATGGCCTGTGGGCGTGCCTAAGTGGAGTTCTGGAGGTTGAATGTGACTTCCGCTAAGGGGAAACTCTGCCGAAATTTCGTTGGCGCCGACACTTGTGAAGATTGTGTGGATCTACATATTGACCAGCAAAAGGGGGAGCTGAAACCTCTGATTGGGAGCAGAGGAGATGAATCAAGGGAGTGGAGATGCAGCAAAGAAGAGGAGTGAACCGCCACCATCCAAGATCGAAGCTTTGGATGGCTCCAACTACGAGGAATGGAGCGGGCGGATGCGGAGCGCCTTCAAGCGCTACAAGCTGCTGAAAATTGCAATGGGAGAGGAGAAGATGCCGGGGGAAGGAGACGCCCGCGATCGGTGGATTGAGAAGAGCGCGGTGCTGTACGACTTGATTCTACAGTCGGTCAACAACGACATGTTCCAGCATATCAAGGATTTGGTGGAGCTCGATGACTCGGGACCGAAGGCGTGGAAGCTGCTACGCGACGTGGTTCAACCTAACACGCTGCCGATGGTGATCGTATTGGAGAAGGAGTTGGCTGCCCTCTCCATGCGGCCGGGAGATGATGTGAAGCCGGTCCTTGACAGGATCAAGGACACCTATGCGAGGATGGCAGCGACGGGCAGCGAAGTGTCGCAGATGCAACAGTGCACCAAGATCATCTCGGTGCTCGACAACTCGTGGGACAACCTCATCCCCACCCTCAACGTTCAGCAGGACAAATGGACGCCTGAGTGGCTACGGCAGCAGATCCTGCAGGAGGACTTCCGCAGGCGCCACACTGGAGTTGGTGCTGCCAACAAAACTGCTGAGGGGTATGGAGCTGCAGGAGGCAGCAGAGGGAGAGGGGGAGGGAGAGGCCGAGGCCGTGGGAGAGGCTTTGGCAGAGGGAGAGGCCGAGGTGACTACAATGAGGGGCATGGGAGCTCTAGTGGCAGGGGAGTACCCGAATGGAGGGTGCGTGCTGGTACTGCAAGAAGGCTGGACACCCATGGTTCAAGTGTTTCAGCCGGCCTGAAGGATGGGCGCCTCCAGGCATGAAGCCGCCAAGTGGTGAACGTGCACGAGGTGGTGCTGTGCAAGGTTCAGGTGCACAAGGTGATGGTGCACAAGGTAAAGCCGACCCTGGTATGTTCCTCATGGTTGAGGACGTGCAAGGGAGTGGGGGTGATGTGGGTTCAGTTGGGAAGGTTGTGATGCACCCCCTCACTCACTGGGTGATCGATTCAGGTTGCACGAGTCACATGACTCCACGGGCAGATTTGCTCGATGAGGTGAAGCCCCCTGGGAAGATAAAGTTTGTGGCTGCCGCTTCAGGTGCCTTGCTCCCTGTGATTGGTGTTGGGAATGCCAAGGTTATGGGAGCTAATGGGGGGCTTGTGGGGCTGGGAAATGTGCTGTTGGCTGAAGGTTTATCCGCTAACCTCCTCTCTGTGCGCCGGGTGCAGAAAAGCAAGGCCAAAGTTACGTTCCGCCCAACCTGCTGCCGTGCAAAGCTTGGGAAGTTGCTGCTGTGGAATTTGGAGGAGAAGAGCAGCTGCATCAAGGACTTGTGGCAGCTGCCCATCATCCCTTGGAAGGGGAAACCACCAGCAACGGCAAAGGCAGCGGCAGCGGCTAAAGCAACTGCGGGAGGAGAGGAGACTGCACCAACTGCAGGGGCCCTAGATGCAGTCAAGAAGGTGCAGCAGTCACAGCAACCACATGGTGAGGTGCTTGCTGGTGTGGATGCGACAGCTGCATGGGCAAAGGCTTCATCTGGGAGTGGTGAGGCTGATTGGGAGACGTGGCATGAGAGGCTGTGCCATGTGAACATTCCTATGCTGCAGAAGTTGGTAAAGGATGGGTGCTTGAAGGGGCTGGAGGTGAAGGGGGGAGCAAAGGAGATTGGGAGCTGCCCTACCCGCCTTGAGACCAAATTCACGAAGTTTCCCTTCAGCAGCAGCACAGGACCAGCAAAGGCACCACTTGCACTAGTGCACATGGATGTGGTGGGCCCCACGAGGGCCCTTTCTCTCTCGGGCAGCCGCTACTTCTTGACAATTGTGGACGACCACACGCGTGCGGTGTGGGTGTACCCTCTCAAGACTAAGGGGGAGATGGCAGCGGCTATTCTTAAGGAGTGGATGCCGAGAGCACAAAGGGAGAGCGGACACAAGGTGAAGGTGATCCGCACTGACAACGGAGGAGAGTTCATCGGCGCTGATTTTGAGAAGGAGCTGAAGCGGAAGGGGATCCAGCATCAGCTCACAGTGCCTTACAACCCTCAGCAGAATGGCGTGGCTGAGCGGTTCAACCGGACCCTGCAGGAAGGTGCTCGCACTCTCCTTGGGCGTGCAGGGCTGCCGGATCCGTTTTGGGTGACACAACTGCGGCAGGTCGCCCTTGTGAAGAACAGGGTGCTGGCAACTGTGGGGGACAAGCAGTGGGTTCCCTACACCAAGTGGTATGGGAGTGCACCAGCAGTCAACATGCTGAGAGCCTTTGGGTGTATGGTGGTGTTTCATGTGCCTAAGGAGAAGAGGGGAAAACTGGAAGCTTCTAGGAGATGGGGTGTGCACTTGGGGCTTGCTAAGGATCACAAGGGCTGGCTGATTTGGGACTTGACCAGCCAGCAGCTGACTGTGTCGAGGGATGTGAAGTTCCTTGAGTCCTTGTACTACAAGGAGTGGAAGCAGCAGCAGCAGAAGCTTCCCACTACACCGCTGATCATTGAGGCTGATGAGGTGCAGCGGCCTTCGAGGCAAGTGCAGGTCACTGTCTCAGAGGAGGAGATTTCTGGGGTGACTGAGGATGGGGGAGAACCTGAGGTAGAGGAGCAGCAGCAGCAGCAGCCGCAGCAACAACAGCAGCCACAGCAGCAGCAGCAAGGTGCTCCACAAGGTGCCGCGCGTCCGGCTGACCGTCCCCGGAGGGAAGTGCGCCCTCCTAACCGGCTGACCTATCCGAGCTTTGGCAAGCCAAAGGTAGTACGGGCTGGGAGTGTGGCTGAGCAGTGTGATGAGGATGAGATAGCACACTGCTACTGGGCAGCCGTCCCTGAGCCCAAGACGTTAGCCGAGGCATTGAGCGGGCCCAACGCTGAGAAGTGGAAGCAGAGTGTGAAGGAGGAGTATGACTCTCTGCTGGAGAATGAGACGTGGGAGCTGTGTGAGCTGCCACCTGGGAAGAAGGCCATTTCTTCCAAGCTGATCTTCAGGCATAAGTACGGACCCGATGGGGAGCTGACCTGCTACAAGTCAAGGCTTGTGGCTAAGGGGTTCCAACAGACAAAGGGGAAGGATTTTGATGATATCTTTGCTCCAGTAGGGAAAGGCACTACACTGAGGACGATGTTGGCAATGGCTGCAAACCGTGGCTGGAAGATCAAGCAGATGGACATAATCACTGCATTCCTCAATGGAATCATTCTGGAGGAGCTGTACATGCTGCAGCCTGAGGGGTTGGATGATGGGAGCGGCAGGGTGTGCAGGCTGAAGAAGGTCATCTTTGGCCTGAAGCAGGCTCCTCGTGCATGGTACCACAAGCTAGAGGAGACACTGCTGGCTGGGGGGTTCAAGAAGAGTGAGTGTGACCACAGCCTGTTACTGCTACAAGAGAAGAAGCAGTTTCTCATGCTCCTGGTGTATGTGGACGACATCCTGCTCTTCTCTGAGTCGTCTGCGATGATTGAGCGTGTGGAGGAGATGCTGGAGATGCAGTTCAAGTGTTCCAAAATGGGAGATGTGAATTACTACCTGGGAATGCATGTGGAGAGGGACCTCGACAAGGGAGTGTTGAGGTTGCACCAGAGAAAGTATTGTGAGGGGCTGGCTGAGAAGTATGGGCTGCAAGATGGAGGAAAGCCAGCCACCCCACTGCCTTCGAGGTTCACTGTGGAGCCCTGTGCTGATGAGGAGGTGGTGGGAGAGAGTGACAGGAAGCTGTTTCACTCCATCGTGGGGGCACTCAACTATGCGGCTAACCACACGCAGCCTGACATTGCCTTTGCAACATC